ACTATCAAAAGGCTAAGGTTTTAAAAAATATTTTGTTAAGGTCCATTACAATGGAGGGTTTAAACAATATTGTATCAAATACCGTTTAATTTCCCTGGGATTAGAATAATTTAGTATTAAATTCCATATTTAAGTTGTACAGGGTCTATGTGACGTATAAGTGCCGACAACACTCATACGCCACCCATTACAAAAATGGTTTTTAATAGATTTTCTTTCAACTTACATATTGAATGATAGGCAACTGGTTCCATTATCACCGATAAATTCTGATGATCTTCCCTTAGGGGATTTTTCCGCAAAATCAATTTGACATAACAACATTCCAATAACAATTTCTGCAGCCATTCCAAATGTTGTTTCTTTTTCTCTTTTATAATTAAATCGCGAAGAATCTAAAAAAAAATAAATTAAATATTAAATCGACATTCGGTCTATTAGAATTGGTAGTTATACCTGTATATCATCAGAGGGTTTACCAGCTATGGCTGTATCCTTCATTTCTATACCAGATTCGGTGGTACCTGAAGTGGGAGTCGTTAACAAAGTACGCTGATACTGAGCATCTTCATATTTCATTAAATCGTCGTATTCGACAAGGGTTATTATGTCCTGAAATTAGAAGAAGGTGAGATAGTTCATATAGGATAAGAGAAATGACGATTAAGGTTAACTTAATTGTCTTCTTTTTCTTATGTATACAGTCGAAGTCGTATAAGTCAACGATCAAGGGATCGGCGAAATTGGTTATAACCGATATCAAATAAAGAGCAGAATTTGTTGGCTTTTGGATACCGTTATAGATGATTTTAGTTCCATATTTAAAACTGCTTTCAATACATCTAAAATAGTATGTAAGCTTTATGTCCATTCTCACCTGTTGCAATAGCTGTTGTATTATCGATATCCTCGATTTCTGCTTGTTGCCATTGTTGCCAAACAATTTCACAATTTTTCCAACAACATCATTATTTTTCTTGCTCTGAACATAATACCAATACAGCGTGTCCATTTCCTCTTGAGTCCAAGTGCTATTTTTATTTTCAATTAAGATGAAGATAATTTAATGAAATAAAATAAATGCATTAGTTGATGTATGGTTTTAAGTTTTTGTAAAATTGAGAAATTCCGAGAGTAAAATAGATAAAATAGACAAACAATAATGAAGCTAAAAAAATTTTTAAAACATATTAGCAATTTTTTGTACAGAATATCATACAAAGTTTTTTATTTACATAGTGAATAAATAGAGTTAGTGATCGGCAATGACCGAATCTTGGATACCCTTCACCACTTGTTGTGTTATCAAAATAAAATATAAAATATTCTGTAAGTGATTGCTTAGTTAAGAGGGGCGAATAAGTACCGACAACACTTATACGCCATCAGTTTTGAAATATGCGATTTTTTAACCTCGTTATAGCCTGAGAAAATATATATTGGAAAAATATTCCCATATTTATCCACTAAACGTATATTAACCAAAAGACAATCTATGATACAGTAGTAACTACAGTAATTGTGATACTGTCAGTACAGTAGTAACTATAAATATATTGGTCCCGGGTTCGATTCCCAACGAAGGAGGACAAATTCTTTAAATAATTAAGCTATCAACATCAGCACATAAGTTCAAAATAGCAATGGCAGGTGATGTTCAAACTGCACACAATTAATGAATTGTTTCTAGGCAACGATAGATGGCAGATATATGACGGGTCATCTAGTCAGGTACGGATGGTTCAGAAGAAAATGGTAACACTAAATTAGCAAGAACCCAAACCACTGCACACAATGTAAGAATTGTTTCTAGGAAACGGTAGATGGCAGCCCCATCACCTAGGCAGGGTACAGACCGCAGTTGCTGATGGTTCACCCAGAAGAAAATGACAGCACTAAATTAGCAAGAACTCAAACCACTGGACACAATTTATGAATGGTTTTTAGGTAACGACAGAGGGCAACCCCATCATCTAGCCAGATTACAGCCCACATTTGCGAATGGTTCAGCCTGAATCATGTATTTTATGTAAGGTAGTAGGAAGCATCACGTTGAAGTAAAGAAAGTTCTTCTCTATGACACCAACTGAGGGGAATATCAAAGCTAAAGAAATGCGAATTTAGTGCTTTTGTCCACATCAGGAGACGGGCAAAATATTCGTGAATGAATGGCAGGACAAGATTTTAATTAGATATAGTTTAAACGAAGCGTTAGCTTCAGATATAACCTTTCCAATCGTTATTTTCAGGTAATAGAGGAAGCAAGGCGCCACCCAGAGGAAAATGGCAACACTACATGAGCAGTCCACATTTGCGAATGGTTTAGCCTGAATAATGTATTTTACGTAAGGTAGTAGGAAGCACCACGTTGAAGTGAAGAAAGTTCTTATCTATGGCACCAACTGAAGGAAATATTTAAGCTAAAGAAATGCGAATTTAGTGCTTCTGTCCACATCAGAAGACAAGCAAAATATTCGTGAACGAATGGCAGGAAAAGATTTTAATTAGATATAGTTTAAAAGAAGCGTTAGATTCAGATATAACCATTCCAATCGTTATTTTCAGGAAATAGAGGAAGCATGGCTTGAACTGGAGGAATGGCAAGAGATAGCGCCACCCAGAGGAAAATGGCAACACTATATGATCAAGAACCCAAACCACTGTACAAAATTTGAGAAGACATAGTTTCTAGTCAACGATAGATGGCTGCCCAGGCTGATCTACTTCAAGCATCTAGAATAAAAAAGATGACGATATAGTATACAACCTAGCCAACCTAGATCTCTAATATTCTCCTCTTTACTCCATTTTTCACCCACTTAGATTAGCAAATGTAGCAAAATGTTAGATTCTGATGGGCAGGACCATTATATTATGGGCTATGTAAAACCATGGACCTCTATTGAACATTTTCTTAACATCATCCTAGGAGAAATATCGATTGAAATGCAAAATTGCAGTGATCATGGCTAAGTCGACATAGGATTTTATTCAGATCAATAATATATAATTTTTGGGATTTACGCAGAAAAATGGAGGAATGGCAAAAGATAGCGCCACCCAGAGAAAAGAATGACAACACTCCACAAGCAAGGTCACCAACCACTGCACAAAATTTGAGAAGACATAGTTTCTACTCTACGATAGATGGCTGCGCCAGGCTGAAGTAGATCAAGCATCTAGTTAGCTGGAATAAAAAAGATGACGATATAGTATACAACCATTGATAGCAATTAATTGGCTAAAGAATAATAAAGCAGCAGGTGGCGGTGGGTTACCAGCCGTTCTATTCAAAACCGGTGGTCAGATGTTGATCAGGAGCATGCACCAACTGATTAGTACAATTTTGCATGCCCAATTATTGGAACCTCAGCATCCTGTCTCCCGTGCACATAAAAAGGAGAAAGACAACTATAGAGGAATTAGTCTATCCAGTATGCTGTGTGAACGTCAATGACATTATTGGACCATAACAGACCTGGAAAATCCACCATAGACCAGATTTTAACTCTGCTCCAAATCCTGGAAAAGACTGACGAAAAATACACCGACACTTTCTACCTATTCGTCCACTATAAAGCCGCATTCGACAATACGCTCCAAGATTTTTAAAGACATGTCAGCGGTCGGCATTCCCGCAAAACTAATACGGCTATACATGATAACTTTAACTGGCACAAGGTCAGCATTGAAAGTCGGAAAAGACCTCTCAGATCACTTCAATGCCAAATGAGGATTCAGACAAGGTGACAGTTTATAGTGTGACCTACTCAACATCCAGCTGGAAAAGGCCATACGAGATGCAAATGTGAACAGAAATGACACTCTGTCCGGCAAACAGCGTGTGTTACTTGCTTTCGCCGACGACATCGACGTAATGGGACAAGTGATAACAGCCCCCTTTAAAGAAATTGAGAAGGAGTCTGCCAAAGTGGGACTGACAGTAAAAGGCGAGAGGACCAAGATGATGGTATCAACGCGCAAGAAGTCCAATAGACTCGGACCAACTGTGGAACTTGAAAACTACAGCTTCGAGGTAGGCAAAGATTTTATATACCATGGTAACGCCCTAAACAAAACGAATGACATCAGTTTTGAAATTCGGAGAAGGATTGTTATGACCAACAGATGCTACTATGGTCTAAGTAAGCGGTTTAGAAACAAGGCCATCTCTCACCAGACCAAACTCACACTCTACAAGACGCTGATATTACCCGTGCTGGTGTATGGATCAGAAACATGGGTACTTGCGCAAGCAGATAAGGCAGTTCTTGGTATGTTTGAGAGAAAAATTCTCAATGGGCCAATCTGCGTCGACGGTGAATATCGCCGTGGAAAGGACTATGAGCTGTACCATATATTCTCTGGCATCGACCAGACCAAACTCACACTCTACAAGACGTTGATATTACCCGTGCTGGTGTATGGATCAGAAGCATGGGTACTTGCGCAAGCAGATGAGGCAATTCTTGGCGTGTTTGAGAGAAAAATTCTCAATGGGCCAATCTGCGTCGACGGTGAATATAGCCGTGGAAAGAACAACGACCACAAGACCGACGTGCCTGGTAATCATTTTTAAGCGCCGCCTATGAAACAAATTTAAACTAAAAAAAACAGTTTTAAAAAAATCGTTTTGACCACCAGTTCGACAAAATATTCACCTATGGGGGCTACATCAAAACGAAGGCACTTCCGCTTTAAAACCTTAATAAGTTCTTCTCCCAGAATTCAGTATGCCAAATTTAATGTGAAAATTAAAATAAATCCTAGATTTTTTTAGATTGACATCATTGTCAAAATACAACCATGTAATAGATTACCGACTATCAACTAGATCATAAGATTCAAATATAACGAAGAAAGAATGATGATAAAGACGCCATTCTAGTGAATGCGGCCAACAAGTTAAAATTTTAAAATATCGAAATGAGGCAGAACCTTTATAAAATACCTTCATTGACAACTTTCTACTAATATGTTTCAGTCACTTCGATTAGAAAATGTAGCTAAAATGTTAGACATTTTGATGGGCAGGTCCTTTATATTGTGGGATATATAAAACCTAGATGAAATATCGCTTGGAATGCAAAATTGCAACGCTCATGGCTTTCCGAAGAATATTTCAAGATGTTGGTATTAAATATAAATATATCCTCACATGTGGACTTCCAAAAGATAAACATTGCAAGGAACTTATTGTGCTCCTCATTACCTATACAGACGTCCATAGAGCTCCTCCCTAATTATACAGACCTCTATAAAGCTCCTTATTATTATAATGCTCTTCATTATCTATACTGACTTCTGTAGAGCTCCTCATTAGTTATACAGAGCTCTTCATTACCTATACAGACTTCTATTGAGCTCCTCATTACCCACACATACCTCTATAGAGGTTCTCATTTCCTATACTTCCTATTAAGGTCTGTATAAGTAATAAGGAGGTCTTATTACTTATACAGACCTTAATAGAGCTCCTCATTACCTACACTGATCTCTAATATTCTCCTCTTTGCTTCATATTACTTATACAGACCTTAATAGAGCTCCTCATTACCTACACCGATCTCTAATATTCTCCTCTTTACTCCATGTTTTAGCCACTTAGATTAGCAAATGTAGCTAAAATGTTAGACATTTATATTATGGGCTATATAAAACCATGGACCTCTATTGAACATTTTCTTAACATCATCATAGGAGAGATATCGATTGGAATGCAAAATTACAGTGATCATGGCTAAGTCGACATAGGATTTTATTCAGATCAATAATATATAATTTTTGGGCTTTCCGAAGAATATATCGAGATGTTGGAAATAAATATATCCTGAAAAATGGACTTCCAAAGACACAATATGTTCCTTGCAATGTTTATCATGGTGTTTAACATTGCACACTAGTTATGCGCAGTACATCCTTGTGAACGTAAAGTTACCAATCTTCGGAATCATATTTCACAGGAAATTAAGAATTATTCAGAACTTTTTGCGACCTGACTTTAAAACTTTTCTTGTGCATCTTTTCTTGCACAAGTCATACATATTTCAATTTTATGAACATCAGTAAAAAAATTGATCGTATCAGGACAAAACTGTCCTGTGTTAAAAGGCACCTTGTTTGTTCAGAACATATAATCAGATTGCCTCCCAGAAACATATATCTGTTAGAAATAAATTATAAACTTTGTGGTGAAGGGTATTTTTCAAACAAGAAATGAATCACTGGACTTTTTTTACAAATGTTAGTGATTTTTTCTGAAATAAAAAAAAAACTATAATTGTCTAAGCACTTCCTTCCGTACTCAATGCTCCTAATTTGCTAAAATATACACGTGCTCTCTCTCTCTCTCACTCTCTCCCAAAACTAAATAACGTTCAATCCGATACCAATAGACAGCATACTAAGACCATCCAAATCCCAATGATCCGTTTGTTTGCGATTCCGATATATCACATGACATGCAGGTCTGCTTCTAAGGTCGCGGTGTCCGACGAATACAACACTGACTGACATGCATGCGGCGCCACCTAGCTAGTCATCACTACAATACGACTAACTGACTCACTCAACTGAACCGTAACCAAAAAATAATGAAAATGTCTGTAAAATGCAATTTGCTGTTAAAAAACAAAATGTGGGGTTTAATTAGTTTAGAGTTATTAGACATGAATCTGAAAAGAACAACAATGAAGTACAGAACCCGGAAACGAAATTCGAAATTTTTTTTTTAATATTGTTCTTTAAAAATCCATGCAAAATTTTTGTCATTGATTTATCAATTCTCTAGACACTAGAACAAAAGAATAGGTGAAGTAAAAAAAACAAAATGCGGAATTTTGAAACCTCCAAAAAAGGTCGCAGAGAATTATGAAATTAAAATATTAGCTAAAAATCGTTATTGCTAATTAAAAAAATGAAATAAAAATTCGATATAATTATGCCAACAATAATGTAAAATATTAGTTATTAACAAATATTTACATTTTTCTATTTTTGGATAACAAGGGTTCTTACCTCACTGCTGTTTCCATATTATGTTCCTTGGTTAACTCCGTCAGGGATGCTGATGAGGCAGCCAATGGACTCTTTTGTGGTGTATTTATAAATTTATGGATGACATATTCAATTAAATCGGACCAATCCTAAAATCGAAACAGAATTTTGGAACTTTAAAATGAATTCTAAAAATACTGAATCGTAACTTACATCACACAGCTCGTAATCGGCTTCCCAAATGCGTGAAAATGTCTTCAAAATCACCGGTTGAAATAGGGCTGTACTTTGTCCCAAATCACCACCAATGTGATGCATCATGGTGAATATACAATCGTTGACAAATTCACCATTGCTATTGAAATCGTCAAGGAGCATGCCATAGAAGTGCATTATTTCCATGGTGGCAAATCTGAAAAATAGCAACAAGTTTTTTTTAAGAATAAATTTTCAATAAACTACACAGCCGAAGATTTTTTTGAAGAATATCGTTCCTATGACTAATTTCATTACCTCTACAGACCTCTATGGAGTTCCTCATTTCGTATACATACCTTTATGGAGCACCTCACTACCTACACAGACCTCTATATTGCTTCTCATTAGTTATACAGAACCTCTATAGACCTATTCTTTACATAAACAGAGCTCATTATTTCCTATACAGACCAGCTCATTACTCTATAGAGCTCCTCATAACTTATAAAGACCTCTATAGAGGTCCATATTACTCACACAGACCTCTCTAATGCTCCACATTAGTAATGAGTCATATACAGACCTCTGTAGAGCGTCTCATTACCTATACAGACCTCTGTAGAGCTTATCATTACTTATACAGACCTTTTATAGAGCTCCACATTACCAACACAGACCTCTATGGAGCTCCGCATTACATATATAGAACTCCTTACCTCTACGGACCTTCATAGTGCTCCTCGTTACCTAGAGCACTCCTTATTTCTTATAAAGACCTCCTCCTTATTTATACATACCTCTATGGGGCTCGTCATTACCTATACAGACCTCTATTAAATTCTTTATTACCTCTATAGAGCTCCTTAATACATAATTATACATACTCCCCTTTACCTATACTGACCTCTATAGGGCTCCTCATTACTTATACGTACCTCTATAGAGCTCCTCATAACTGATACCTCTATAGAGGTCCGTTTTACTGACACATACCCCTCGAATGCTCCTTATTACTTATAAAGACATCTATGGACCTCATAACTGATACATACCTCTATAGGGATCCTCATAACTTATACAGACCTCTATAGAGGTCCGTTTTACTGACACAGACCTCTCTAATGTTCCTCTTTACTTATAAAGACCTCCTTCCTCTTTACTTATACAGATTTCTATTGAGCTCCTCAATACGTTCACAGACCTCTATAGAGCTCTTCATAACCTATACAGACTTCTATAGACCTCCTCATTACTTATACAGGCCTCCTTATTACTTAAACAAAACTCTATAGATCTGCTCATTTCTTAGACGGACCTTTATAGAGCCCTCATTACTTATACAGACCGCTATATAGCACCTAGTTACCTATGCATTACCTATACAAACCTCTATATTGCTCCCCATTGCCTATACAGGCCTCTATAAGGCTACTCATTATTTATACAGACCACCTCTTTACCTATACAGAGCTCCTCATTACCTATGCATACCTATATTTAGCTCCTCATCACTTATACAGACCTCTATAGAGCTCCCCATTACTTATACATACCTCTATGGAGCTCTTCATTACCTATACAGATCTCTATAGACCTCTTCATTACCTATACATACCACTTCATTACATATATAGACTTTTGTAGAGCTTTTGTACGGCCCTCTATCGTCCTCCTCGTTACCCACACAGACCTCTGTATATTTATGTGTCTCTATACTTACTGTGAAACATGATCGATCATCTTAATATGGACATTATCCTCCGACTTGGTAACACTATCCAAGATCAGCAACAACATATGATTGGTCACTACCAAATCTTGCAGATATTGTTTGGGATGTAGACTAGGGTTGAAGCGACGCAATAGCAGTACAAATAAATTTCGTAAATCTTCCGAACTACTTATTTGCAGCTGTAACATTCGCAATCGCTCACGATCTTCTTCACTGAGGTGAGTGACTTTTTTATAGGTTTCAATGGCCTGGAGAAATTCCCTTATAGCAGTTACGACCAAATGCATACGTCGTAAATATGGATTCGGGTCACTACCCTCCTGGCGGGAATTTAATTCCAATTGTTCGCATAGCATTACACCCTCATACGTTAGATAGCTAATAACTTCGAAGGTCAATATGTTATTGACATGTTCCATATCCAATTCCAATTGGGCGGCAAATTTCAGGAAATATGTTACCAACCAAAAGAAATGGGAGGTGTCGATCGGAATGTTCTGCAAAATTGAAATGTTGGAAAGTAAAACAAAGGTATTTAAAAATTAAGTGAATTCTTTTGAAACTTACCAAATTTGTCAAAAGTTGGGAGTGTAAATCCTCCACCAAATAACTGTAACCCTTAAGTAAGAAGTCAACAGTGAACTCCTTTAATAAATTGGCGATATCCTCATCTGTGGGTATATGCTGTACCAAACCCTTCATATTGATTCTATAAGAAAAAAATTATTTTAATAAAAATATTTGTCAAGGATATTCATAGGCTTGGATCTGTTCTGTATAGGAAATAGGGAGATCTACTATTTCCTATACAGAGTCCCACTTTATTAAACAGACCTCTATAGGGCTCCTCATGACCTATACAGACCTCTATAGAGTTCCTTATTACATGTACTGATCTCTTTAGAGGACCTCCTCTACAGAGTCCTCAAAACGTATCTATAGAGTTCCTCATTACTTATACTGACCTTAATAGGCTCCTAATTACCTATACAGACCTCTATAGAGCTCCCCATTACTTATACAGACCTTAATAAGGCTCCTCATTACCTCTACAGACCCCTATAGAGCTCCTCACTACCAACACAGACCTCTTTAGGGCTCCTCATTACATATACAGACCTCTTTAGAGCTGCTGGCTACTTATACAGATCTCTATAGGCCTCCTCATAATCTATACAGACCTCTATACAGCTCCACATTACCCACACAGACCTCTATAGAGCTCCTCATCCCCTATACATACCACTATAGTTCTCCTCATTACCTATACACACCTCCATATAGCGCCACATTACTTATACAGACCTTTATAAGGCTCCTCATTACCTATACATACCTTCATAGAGCTCCTCATTACTTATAAAGACCTCAATAAGGCTCTTCATTACTATTACCGAACCCTGTAGTGCTCATCGTTACCTATAAAGTCTTATAAAGGAGTCCTCATTACCTATACAGACCTCTGTGAAACTCCTCAATACCTATTCGGACCTCTATAAAGATCCTCATTTCCTGTACAGACCTCAATAGACGTCCTCATTACCTACACATACATCTATAGTGCTCCTAATTACTTATACAGACCTAATAACGGCTTCTCATTACATATACAGACCTGTATAGAGCTCCTTGTTACTTATACAGACCTCTATAGAAATCGTCATTACCAATACAGACCTCTATAGAGCTCCTCATTACTTGTACAGACCTTAATAAGGTTCCTCATAACCTTAACAGACCTCTCATCAATATGTTTTCTAGATCCCACATAGTTGCGAATTAAAAAAAAATACTTACAAACTACTCTTGCTCCGCTTCACCAGCTTCTTCCTTCTCAACTCCTTCTTATCGATGGCCGTCAAGATATTACGCTGGCCCTTACGTGACTTCGAACTGCATGGCGGTTTTTGATGTTGTGGCTTGCTCTGAGGACCATCATCATCATTACTAGAGGTTGATATGGACTCTTGATTTTCAACTTGTGTACCATAACCACAATCGGATAGTTCCGATTGTGACGAGGGGCATTGTCGCTTCTGCGGACCACATTTACCCATTGTCAGCTTGACATGAGCCGAATGGGGTGTTTTCTGTTGATTCTGACTCTTTGGACATGGTTCCATTAATTCCGGATCGTTGGCCATTAACGGCAAGGGAGCAACTGTTACGCATGCTGTGGGCTTAGTAATAGGTAAGGCTGGTGGAGCCATAAAATTGTCACTGTCGGACATTTTGGAAGTGCTTGAATTTGATTCAGCTGGTTGTTGTAATTGTTGTTGTGGTTGTTGTTTGTTTGATGTTGTTGTTTTAGTTTCCGTTGCATCGTTGTTATCAATTTTATTGTTATTTTCCTTTTTCATTTTTGTCGGCGACGAAGGACAGGTGCCCTGTTCCGATTCTTTTTGGGACCAATTCGTATTGTTCGTCGGTTCTTGGTTGGATTTCTTCTTCATACTGAGATCGGTTGCCACCTCGGGGGCATCACCATTGTCAGCTGGTACTCGTAGCATGGCATTTTGATACTCTTGGCCCTTACGACTTACCTCTTGTAATGTGGCTTCGGTTTCTTCGCGCAAAGCCTGACGACGATCCTCGGAGCTGACGTTTTTCTTAGTGCCGCCACTGCCTAAAAGACACAAAAAATATTTAATAAAGAAATTTTTTTAGGATATTAAAATGTTGCCCTACCATTATCCGATGAATCCGATGTGGGATCCGATGTCAGCATGGGACTCGAATCACAGCTACCCTGTTTCGGCGGCGACGTATTACTCTCATTATCCTCCGAACTTTCCGATAGCGAAGCTTCAAACCACATATTCAATAGCTTCTGCAGGGTACTAACATGCTGATCCTTATACATGAGGGCGATCAGCTGGACCAGTGTAACACCCCATACCGCTCGCTGGGGGCATGTCATAAGGTACAGCAACAATTTATCTATACTCTGAATAAATAAATTCCACAAAATTGTATTTTGCATAGAGACCACATGGGTTCCACCCGATTGGTTATGGGCCGCCGTGGACATGATGTAGTTGCCTCTCGGTTCGGGTATATGCAAAATATTACGCAACAACAATAAACAATTATTGATTTGTTCACATTTCTTGGCCGATAACTTTGAATCGGATTCCAAAATCCGCGTCATATATTCCACAACACATTTTGTACTTTTCGGATCGGTAAAGGCCTCCTTGCTCGTGTGCAATAAATTATTCAATTCGAAGATGGTGTATCGGCCCACTTCGGTCCGATACATAACATCGACCGAGAATAGACATTCCACCGGCGCGGTGAGGTTTACCAATATCCTTATAACCGAATCGAATACCTCCTCATCTTTGGCATTTTCCAGGAGGGGTAGCAGATCGGATTTAACATTTTTACCAAAACCTACAGCTCGTCGAAATGTTCGTAGGGTTTGATCTTCATAGGTCAACTTAAAGTCAATTTCTTCCAATGTTTCTGGAAAGGGCAGCATTGTTAGTTGTCAAGTAGTTGTTGGTGTTCGGATGGCGTTAGCAACGGACTTACCTAGAACCTTATCACTTACAACATAGGTATCTCCCATGAGGGAGCCCAGTGAGGAGAAAGCACTATATAGCTGAGGCGTTTCTAATAGCCAGTCCATTACAACAAAATATAATCGAAAATTTAAGTTTGTAGTTTAAGATCTTCGTCTGTGGCATTCATTTGGAATGGTTGTGGCAATACGAAGGGGGCCGGGGTGCTGGAAGAAATTGAAGGAAAAAGTGAGGTTAGAAAAATTAATAAAATTTTTTAATATATTCTTTAAAAATCCGCGCCCATTTGGCAGTTTGAAAAATATTCTTCAAAAAACCACACCTATTTTGGTAGCTAGAATAAGAATTTGTTAACAAATCCTATAGAGTTCCTCATTACCTATACATACCTCTATAGAGCTCCTAATTACCTATACAGACCTCTATAGACTTCATCTTTGCCTATACAGACCTCTATAGACTACATCTTTGCCTATACAGACCTCTATAACAAATCCTATAGAGTTCCTCATTACCTATACATACCTCTATAGAGCTCCTAATTACCTATACAGACTTCAATGGAGCTCCTCATTATTATACAGACCTCTATAGAGCTCCTCGTTACTTATACAGACCTCTATAGAGCTTCTCATTACATATACAGGCCTCTATACATTTCATCTTTGCCTGTTCAAACCTCTATAGACTTCATATTTGCCTATACAGACCTCTAAAGAGATCCTCATTATCTATACAGATCTTTATAGAGCTCCTCATTACTTATACAGACCTCTATACCCTTCATTTTTGTCGATACAGACCTCTACAGACTTTATCTTTGCCTATACAGACCTCTATAGACTTAATTTTTGCTTATACAGACCTCTATAGAGCTCCTCATCACTTATACAGACCTCTAAAGACTTCATCTTTGCCTATACATACCTGTATAGACTACATCTTTGCCTATACAGACCTCTATAGACTTCATCTTTGCCTATACAGACCTCTATAGACTACATCTTTGCCTATACAGACCTCTACAGACTTCATCTTTTCCTTGTAGATCTCGACAAAATATTCTTTAAAAAATCCACGCGTCTTGTAGACCTCGAAAAATATTCTTTAAAAAAATCCACGGCTCTTGCAGACCTCGAAAAAATATTCTTTAAAAAAGATCGCATTTATTATCCGAATTGGATGAAATTTGGCACAGCTCATATATTTGGCCCAAGGACGAAACCTATTAAAATTGGGAAAAATTGGTTCAGATTTAGATATAGCTCCAATATATACTTTCGTCCGATTTTAGGTAAATAGTGCACCCAAGTCCCTATATATCCTTCGATTTGCACGAAATTTTGCATAGCTTAATGAATTGAGTCTAAAATGATGAGTGGTGAGTTTCGGAAAATCGGTTCAGATTTCGATATAGCTCCCATATATAATTTCGTCCGATTTTATGTAAATAGAGCACCTTCGAAAAGGCGACGTCTGTTAGCAGAATATGTAAAATATATGCAAAGTTCCTTACTGATTGAAATATGTTTAAGGACCAACACAAGACGAGGATATTATCTAGAATATTTTTAGGGGACCAATACAAGTCGCGGATTTTTTAAAAAATATTTTTCAAGGACCAGCACAAGACGAGGATATTTATATATTATTTCGAGGTCTAGCGTGGATTTTTAAAATTATTATTAAAATTTATTTTATTTATTTTTAATTTTTTTATCACTTTTCGAACATAATTCACAATTATCCGGCCCATACCTCCTCTTATAAACGTTCACAGTTGATTGAGAAGTTGCAATTCAAAAAATGAAAGCTTCGTGGAATTTTCTCTGAATTGTTTCTCAGCAAAACGGAAAACTATTCTCTTTTCTCTCTGTTTTTTTTTTTTTACAATAATTCTCCCTTCAAAATGTATAAGGGAGTAAATAAAAAAGTTCTTTCTACTCGCTTCACTGAATGTTTACAACTGATGGCTGACAGGATGCAGTGGCCAACAAAGCGAAGCATCTCTGGCAGTCAACCAACACACATGTAGACGGCACGCAAAACATGCGACAGACCTAATGTTAAACATCGTGTAGGATACAACGGTTGGCTGTGGACCGTGAACACAACCGGCATTCTATTGAAGAGGGATTTGATATTTTTTCATCCTGTCTATCTCTTTGAACAAAGGTCATGTTTGTACAAACATGTGAATGTATGTATGCAGCATAATGAGAAAATCAGATCGATTACCTTGGCACTGGACACCACCTACTCGTATAATGGATATAGATTTTTTGGGGGATGATGATTTACATTTATATAGTGGCTCAGCTGCAAGGGATTAATAGAAGCGGTAACAGACAAAACATTCATTGAGAAAAATATATCGAAATATATATGTGTGTAGATACACGTGTAGACATAGCGTGATGGATTAGAAAATGTAAACAAATCTCAGCTGGTTTTGACAGTTGTGTATAAAGGATAAACAAATATGCACATAAATGTGTGGAAAATTTGCGAAGTAATATTGCATTTTTTTGTAACCTGATGCATTTCTATAAACGAGGCTGGTTCCACCCACCCACGGAATGACAAATTTAATACACACTGAACCGGATTACAATTATTACAATATGCAAATTTTCATCCTGGCAATATTCTGCAAAAATGTTGCTCATAAGATTCTAGGTGCAATTCTCAAAGATGAAAAATCGATATTTCAAAGTATTTTCTTAATTTTACCCGTGTTACTATGGGCCAGGAATCTATTTTTTGGCAAAAAGCCAATTTCAGGTAATAAGGAAAAAACGTTATATATTTCAATTCTGGAGCGTTACAACAGTAAAATTGTATATCATTCTGGGTCACGGTTTTCAAATGACATGAAGTCAAAGTCGAAAATTCATATTTTTGTGAATATAATTTATATTTGAGGGTGGCGTATGGGATAATAGATACAAAGCAACGACTCTGATTGGCTTTAACATGTCGAAGCCCAGGCTTATCTTGGTCCCTCTATCATCTCAATTGCGGACACTGACCTCCCCGCGATGTCACCTGGGGTAGCTATATTTATAACCCGTTGAAATAGTAAGCTGATATGTGCCGCGTGTTCACCCATAAGAACTATAAAAAAATGGGATAAGGCGTCGGGTGCCCACACTTGGAAAATCCCTTCTACTATGAAAAAGCAAAAAAAAAACAGTAAGGAAAGTAGTAAAGTCGGGCTGTTTTGATTTGATCTTTATCAATAAATGAACCGACTAACATCAATCCATATACATGCTTTTCTGCAACCTATGCTAAATTTCAATGGGACAAATTTGGGTAAATCGATTGATACACACTATTCGATATTATCAATCAGACACCCGTTCGAAATATATATGGAAGCTATGTCTGCATCTGCACCCATTACAAAAAAAAAAAAAAAAAACGCAATCAATCTAGTCTCAACTGAATAGGTTGACCAAAATTTCGTGACAATCGGAGGAGTTTGGTGCACCATTTCCCTAAAATCGAAAACGAACGAAAATATGTATGTGAACCGATTTCCACGAAACTTGGCAGACATGACTCCAGACCCAATTCAGAACGCTGTTCCAAATTTCGTGCAAATCGAAAGATATATTGGGTCTTATGTGCACCATTTACCTTAAATCGGAAGAAAATATATATGGGGGCTATATCTAAATCTGAACCGATTTTCAGGAAACTTAGCACACATTATTCTAGGCTTACTTCAGTAAGCTATACCAAATTTCGTGCAAATCGAAAGATATTTAGGGATTTTAGTGCACCATTTACCTTAAATCGGACGAAAATATATATGGAAGCTATATCTAAATCTGAACCTATTTTCACAAAACTTCGCACACATCATTCTAGGCTCAATAAAGTACGGCATGAGGTTGATTAACTTCGCGGCAGCAAAAAACATGGTAGTTATCAGCACCAGATTCAAGCATCTCGATATAGAGAATGCCACCAAGATTTCTGCTGATCAAGCAACGAGAAATCTAATTGACCATGTTGTGATAGACGAAAGGCATTCGTCCAGTGTTTTAGACGTTCGATCGATCCGAGATCGATCCTTGATGGTGGTTTTTCAGATCTGGCAAATCCACCATAAACCAGATTTTCAGTTTGCGCCAAATCATGGAAATATCCACGAAAAACACTTCGAAACATTCCATCAAAGTTGTCGACTATTAAACTGCATTCGACAGCCTTATGCGTTCAGAGGTGCTTAAAGCCATGACTGCGTTCGACAGTCCTGCAAAAGTCGGGAAGAACCACTCGGAGCCTTTCAATACCAAACCGAAATTTCAGGCAATTTGATGCGCAAGACTTCAAATATACTCGGACCAACTGTGACTCTTGAAAGCTACAACTTCGAGGTAGTAAAAGATTTTATATACCTCCGTACTGCCATAAGTAAAACTAATGACATCAGTTTTGAAATTCGGAGTGTTGCCCAACAGATGCTACTATGGTCTGAGTAAGCAATTTAAAAACAAGGCCATCTCTCGCCAGACCAAACATACACTCTACAAGACGCTAATACTACCCATGCAGGTGTAAGGATCAGAATCATGGGTACTTGCGCAAGCAGATGTGGCAGCTCTTGGAGTGTGTTGCGAATGGATGAGAATGCCTATAAAAGCGAAGGCATATAAAAGCGAGTCAACTGATGGTTCACGCAGAAGGAGAAGGCCATGAGTTCGATAGAAAGATCTAGTGGAGAATGACATATCAAAACATGGTCTTTCAAATTGGAAAAATTGCGCCTGGAAATCTGTTCTATGTTCGGCTTATGGATCAAATGTTTTGTCTCGAGCCACTTAAGTAAGTACATTTTTGGCGTATCAAGTTTATATACCCACATTAGCCATAGGACTGGGGGTATAACAAGCGTGACTTTACATGTTGAACTTAATTTTCTGGAAAAACGAAAATCCGGAATTTTTGGTTGATAACTTTTTTTACATCAATGGGCCCGTAATACCCTATAACAATATTTTTTACTTAACAAAAATCGAAGAACGAAATGGGATAGCAAATATTCCTACCTAATACTACAAAATTTCGGCATTTTTGGAAAGTTTGGGAAAAGGGTTTCAAAGAAATTAACTATAATTTTACGTTTTGGATTTTTTACAAAATATTATCAATATTGACCCAAGTTACAGGGTTTTTC